TTTCACGGTGTATAATTTACCTTGCTATCATTACCATTTTATTACAATTTCAGTTCATTTTAAAAATTATAGTTATTCATTTGTCTCACATTTAAGGATCATTTTTAGAAGGACCACAACATTTTGACTGCAAACTGTTAGTCTTCATCAGGTGATGGTTGTTGGTATTGGATAAAGACTAGCTGCACTTAGCAGTCAAAATGTTGTGGCCCTTCTACAATGACCCTCAATTGTGAGGCATTAATTAAGTGCCATTTATTACAATTCCATGATGAATAATATTTTTCATTCTATTGCACTTATTTATTTATTTATTATTTATCATTTTTTTGTTATTTCTACAGATTATGGGCCTGACAAACCCAGAGGGAAAGAAGAAATACATTGCAGGTGCTTTCCCCAGCGCATGTGGAAAAACCAACCTTGCCATGTTAACCCCTACTATTCCTGGCTGGAAAGTAGAATGTGTTGGTGACGATATTGCCTGGATGTGGTTTGATGAGGATGGCCAACTGCGTGCTATCAATCCAGAGAGTGGATTCTTTGGTGTTGCTCCGGGCACATCAAAAAAAACCAATCCCATCGCAATGAARACTTTTGAGAAGGACACCATTTTCACCAATGTCGCTGAAACTTCTGATGGTGAYTTCTGGTGGGAGGGTGAGTTTGTCCATATTGCCATATCTTACTACACAATCCACCATAGTGTGGAAATGCTGGGATAAAACATGCCATTGTTTCACTCACAAACATCAACCTATTGCACTGCATTACTAAAGGCACGTGCAACTTGCAAAAATCTTATTTTTCTTTCTTYATGCTTAAATATGCTTCAATTCTTCCTATTAATGCATTTTATTTTTGTACTTTATATTTATTTCAAATTTGCTTCTTTTTTCCTTTTGATTCTATGAAACATGGCTTAATATAAAGGCTCCTAATTTGCTCTTGTATGTTCTTTATCAAACTGTCGCTAAGGAATGTAGATGACAATTCGTATATTTTGAGACATGAACATTAATATTTGAGGGTGTGACAATGACAAATCACCTTTACCAAAAATTATAGCCTCTTAATAACATGCAACAACCATTTGTTCCAGGTCTTGATCCACCAAAAGAGGGAATAACAATCAAATCATGGTTGAATCARGAGAACTGGACCCCTGATAAGGGTTTTGCAGCTCACCCTAACTCCAGATTCTGTGCCCCAAGTGATCACTGCCCAATCATGGACAAGGACTGGGAGAATCCTAAAGGCGTCCCAATCAGTGCTATCTTGTTTGGTGGGCGTCGTCCAGTTGGCGTCCCACTTGTCTACCAGGCCTTTAATTGGCAACACGGTGTGTTTGTTGCTTCTTCCTTGTCATCTGAAACAACTGCTGCTGCAGAATTCAAGGGCAAGAACATCATGAGAGACCCTTTTGCCATGAGACCATTCTTTGGGTACAACTTTGGAAAGTACCTTGAGCATTGGCTTGGTATGCAGAAGAAATCTGACAAATTGCCTCCTATTTTCCATGTCAATTGGTTCCGTTTAGATGATAATGGGAAATTCTTATGGCCAGGTAATCATTGTCGCTACCCTCAAGTAATTTAATTCATTTATTGAAATACAATAGAAGTCAGTCACTCCATGAGAGCTTTGTTAATATTATTGGATACAGAATTTTCTTCATTTTCAGTTAACTTTTATATGGATTTTCTTGCTCACACTCGAGCTCTGATCTCAAAAATTTTAGAACAACGAAAAACAGGTTTTGTGTTAGTCCTTAAAAACTCCTTGCAATTTATTTCACCTTTTCAAGCAGATAAACTCTTGAATTTTACGGTTTTAGCGAAACTCCTTGAATTTCTGCTTTGATCGTTACAGTACTTACATGGTACTAAAATAGATCTAGTCATTCAATTTTTTTTGCGTGAAATACGATATCAACCAGACCTCATTTCCCTTTTATGAAGGGGTACTGGAAACAACTTGGAACRTTGGCCATGTGMRAACAGCATRTAAAACCATGGCTTAATTRGCTAAACAWACTCCTTGAAAATTCATTTTTTGGCCCTGGAATACATCTTGAAGAGTCCTTAAATTTTAAGTGGATACCCCAGCACCAACCCTGAGAAATGATACTCAGGACAAGACATTTGATAAGTCTTTTCAGATGGCATCTCTCTTATTTTCCTTTCTTGGRYCACACAACAGGTAGCCTTAAAAAAYRTGAGAGAGACTCAAAGCAGAGAGAGAAATACCTGCAGAGGCAGCCAACATTTGATGAGCAATATCCATTTGCGTCCTATCTGACTTTTATGGCATGGCAGCTCCTATCATCAACATTACTTTTGATTCTCTCTAATCCTGTTAAACTCTTTCTATTTRATAAAGGTTTTGGAGAAAACTGCAGAGTTCTGGAGTGGATATTTAAGCGTTGTGATGGTGAAGACCTTGCAGATGTGTCTCCAATTGGCTATATTCCCAAGAAAGATGCTATCAATACYGAAGGCCTTGGAAAGATTGACATGGATGAATTGTTATCTATCCCTAAAGATTACTGGATGGATGTACTGAAGAACCTGCGTAAATACTGGGACGAACAAGTTGGGGAGGATTTACCAGGTCCTGTGAATGACGAGTTCAAGGCTCTGGAAGAACGCCTCAAGGCTGCAAAGTAAAACCTTGTTTTAAGTATTGGCAGCAGAGTTAGAACGGATTTCACAAATGTTGTATCTCACAATTTTAAAGACAGATAAACTATTGATAAATTAGGTATATCTTCAGTGGAACCTGTGTGGTCTTAAGAGATGTATTCATATAATACTCTAGTGATCAAAAAAACCCACAACATTCAAGTTATTTGTTTTTTTGTTATGCTATCATAGGAAGGATTTTGTACAGTTATGTTAAYCGTTTGGTTTTAGTTTTGTTTAGGTTAGTACTTTTGATCTATTGTTATTCTGAAGAATCCAACTAAGTTGAGATTTTGGTCAAACATTTTTTGTTTTTTTTTGTTTGTTTGTTTTCTGACAGAGTTTTTCATTTAGTTCGTTTATGGTTTTACACCTTGAATATCATATTATTTATTTCACCTTTTTTTCCTCCAATTTATAATTTTTTCTCACTTAGTGCCCAGATTGCCTTTCACTAATGACAATAAATATTAAAATGTCTACAATTTATCATGTTAAACATAAACAGTAACAAAAATTCAAAACTGTTGAGCGCAAACCATAYATTTGTGGAATAGCACAAAAACTAAATAGCAAGAAACATTTTGTCCATTAGGTTGTACCATTTCAAGTATAATGGCTTGGGCTCTAATTAGAACATGTGTCTAGGTATATAGTAAAGAGTTTGTATGGTTAAATATTTTCGGACTAAAAATTCAAAAAAAGGAACTTGAGATTAGTTGTTCTGATAAAGTTTATTTTAATACTGCATGATTTGATACTGGCAACATTTCACAGTTCTTTTGCTTCAAATTTAATTTTCAAATTTATCTTATTAGACAACAAGGGTGTCTCGATTAATTCAACAGTAATTTATATAATGACTTGTTAACTTGAAGAAACATCATTTTAACTGCACCAATTTAAGAAAATTTCTCCAACTTGAAATTTTGTAGATGTACCAAAGTCGTTGACAGGGGAGTACGATGTATTTTCATAGATTTCCAATTTTAAAAAAAACACGTGAGAATGAGAATATTATTATTATCAAGTAATTTAAATTAACTGAATCTTAGGATTTACTTGTTTTGAAATGCAG